AATGAGGTGATACAGCATTTGTTGATGAGAACAGCCTCTCATCTATTCTAGTTGTATATAACTGGTATTACATGTTTCACATGAATACTTGCGTGTACACAACGAGATACCGATGTTTTGATCGGAGGTGTGCGATAAACACCTGAGATTAGAGCTATCAAGCCAAAAGGTGGACACTCGGCACAAGAGATTGTACTTCCAATCGCATTGGCTACACCTGCATGCAGTTGAAACCCAATAATTGCTAATACCTTAGGTAAATAATGACATTGTTTATGCTGATGTGATGTAACAAACATATAGTACAACTGTATGTTTAACCGTTTAGTTATTTAATCTGTGTTTGAGGAGCCGCATGTATACCCGTGTGAGCCCTGCGTTATATTCCCCCCTGACGTGTTGCAGCATGCATGACGAGTCTCAGGTTCAGTGGATTTGACAATCTCGAGAGAGATATATGGAGTAACATTTCATGACATGACTGTATTCATGTTAGCTAAACAAACACTTCCGTCATGAAAGCACGTTTTGTGTTGTTTATTCTCGAGGTGTTAATTATATACAAATCTTCTTGTAACAAATCCTACTGCGGACACCTTGATTGTCATAAGTCGTGACAGGTGTCGTTAGATAAAAATAATATCTCATATTCGGGTTCAGACTAAATGTAACGGTGACATAGCAAAATTCAAATACATATTCGAGCATGGGAACAATGTAAAAAAACATCAAAATTAAATTTTGTTGTAGTTAAAAACAAACTAACAAAACACACTGACAGAAAAAAATAAAATAAAACATGCATTCGTGTGATTTAAGTGTATTGACAATAGGTCATTGAGAAACAAGGTCTTTGAAGTTATCGGTATGTGTGTGTGTGTGCGTGCGTGCGTGCGTGCGTGCGTGCGTGCGTGCGTGCGTGCGTGCGTGCATGCGTGCGTGTGTGTGTGTGTGTGTGTGTGTGTGTGTACTTTATGTGACTTCCCGTGTCTGTGCGTGTGTATGTATGCGTGATAGGAGTTGTTCAGGCCACAACGTATGAAGTAATATGTTCAGTATCGAGTGTATATGGTAGATACCACATATGTCTAGTACATTATAGGGTAGGTAAACTCCAACCAGGAGCTTTGGCAATGTTAATCACAAACGCCTGACAAAATTAACATTTGACAAATTAAAAATCGCAGTGCGAAATCGAACTCCCATACGATAGCATAAAATTCCGACATTCCCCGATTCGCCTAACAAGGATAAAATGGGTTCACAATTTCTGTCCATTAAGCCTGCCTCCAAATTACAGGGCTTTTACTGTCTGGTCAACCATTTGAGTATTTGGTGTTCTTTTGGGAGCTCTTCCTACTTGTTATATATCATTAAGGTGCAAGATCACATGCGCGTAGTCACCCGTGAAGGTCAGGGTTAGAATTGACCTTCAGTAACCCATGCTTGTCGTAAGAGGCAACTAACAGGATCGGGTGGTCAGGCTCGCTGACTTGGTTGACACATGTCATCGGTCCCCAATTGCGCAGATCGCTGTTGAGCACCGGATTGTTTGGTCCAGATTCGATTATTTATAGGCCGCCGCCATATAGCTGAAATATTGCTGAGTGCGGCGTAAAACTAAACTCACTCGCTGATTCGCTCACTGATTCACTCACCTGAGCGTGGTGATTAATACATTAAAGGACACAAGTAATTGGCGAACACCATTCACATTCACTGAAACAAGTTAAAACATTAAACAATGTATTTCACTGAGTGATTGGACATATCAATCTTACAGAAAGAGTTGGGCTATAAAAGGAATTACAGACAAAAACAATTATCACCCTTAAGCTAAATTTGTCAAATTTTGATTGGTAATAGCCAAAGCATACCAAACTATGTAGGGCATTTGCGAGTGTGTACGAACCGTACACCCCGTCAAATCTATCATGAGACACACTACACGGTTTTGTAAGAATGACCTTGACCTTAGATGGAATGTGGCTGCCAAACGGCTGATCGCTTCGAAATTTTAGAGTTGGCGTATACAATTATGAGTATAAACAGAGTAATCAAATTGTTGTCATAATTTCTTATTAGTTTGTGTCAATAAATATACCCCCAAAATAAAATGTTTCTGTGAAGAACTCTTTCACTTAGAAGATAAAGCTACTCTGTGTTCAATTTTGCGGTCCTTTATCGCTGATTTAAGACCGCTAAATGTAATTTAAAAACCGAACGCGTTAGCGTGAGGATTTAAATTAAACATTTACCGGTCTTAAATCAACGACAAAGGACCGCAAAATTGAAAACAGAGTAGCTCTATCTTCATTCTAGCACGACTGATAAGCATTTTAAAACCGAACTGTTTAGCGCGCAAGAACACAAGGCGCAAAGGGGCCCTTTTCTGGAAATCGCTTGGAATCGTCCCGTTGAGGGACAGGTTGTGTAATGAACAAAATAAGACATTTTCAACAACATAAATGCTATATTTCAGGAACCAGTATGCTTGTATTTGTAACAAGAAGCATACAAAAGTATTTAAAAATACAGTTTATACTGTGAGCAAGTACAATTATTTGATTTTTCTCAAGCGAATTATTGATCTCCCCTACTGTATGACAATATACTCGCCCAAATGCAAGCCGTAAACTCGCTAAGTTTAGTCGCCGTTAACTTTATTCACGGAAATAATTGTTGATAACCACGCTGCTAGTCCCAATTTGGAAAAGACCTAACATGCCACGTTTTATGTGGGATACATGGACAGTGGAAGTGGAAGTGGAAGTACTGGGCATTACGGCCGGGACGGAAGCGGTCAGGTTTGGACCAGTCGGCCGACGTGTGTTGTCGATCCGGATACTGTTCATAAATAAGACCTCCATTCATTTGATGTTGTTCACGTCAATGAGTCGTTAACTTGATTGCTCATGCGTGCATGTGGGCATTTGCAGTTTAAATAGATGCGTGAAATAATGCTATGTCCAAGTCTTACTTTCCTTTCAGTGTAAATGTAGAGCCGTATACAACTTACAGGCCATCACGTTACACAACGAAGTGTGGTTGGTTCAAGTGGCAACAGTGCACAAGATACAGGTGAAAATGTCATTTCTTAAAAGCAAAGGTTGTTATTCATAATGTTTTTTTCTCTGAATATATGAATGATGATATCTTCCTGATCTGACTTGGTATCCCTGTTAATGACATTTGAACGAAGATTTAGTTATATGTGGACCATATTTTCTCTGCTGGCCAGTCAACCTCTGTGACAAACGGGAGAATTCGCTGATTTGCAGAGACCAAATCATAGTTTAGGCAGGTATTGCGTCAGAATATTAAAGCATATGATATTACCAGTGTTTTGAAGTTGGACATTCTTATGTCGACAGTATCAAACGCATCCTAACAGAACACATTTTTTGTTCCACCAGACGTCGGTCAGACACACATTACAGATGCAAATCAGGGTACAGAACAACAGATAACACAGGCTGCCCAAATCGTAAGTGAATTGTGCTACTTGGCTTGAGGAACGTCTGGCCTCATAACAATTGTTATCATTATGATCTGATGATCTGTATACCTTGGTAACATAAAGATGGACGGGCCGTGTAATGTATTTTAAATAAATACACAGGCTGTTGATTGTCATACACAAACCTTCGTTGTAAACCCACTGACGTAATATGCGCAAGTAGCATGCTTTCGTTTCTAGTAATCCCAGCTAATCATATATCACAGGATGACAGGAAACTACAGAAGTCTTTTGACTGTACATTATATGTTCACCACACATAGTGAAACAAGGACGATCGTTACACATTGCAGCTATCTGTGACGATCAGATCAACCCCGCTGCTTGCAACATCGACTACAGGACATCTCACATCGTCTACAGTAACGGCAGGACACAGTACAGGAGTGGGGGCAGCTGTACTTCCCCTGGGACCTGTGCCAACTGCAATGAAGGCTTTTACCCCAGCAATCAACGATGCAGAAGTATGTGCATATAGGTTTACACTCTATTAATGTATTCCGGCCTATGTGTGTTAGAAGAAACGTTCTTGAGTAAAGGTTTAATGCAGAGAACGATGCAGAAGTACGTGAATTTTGGTTCAGTCGATTCATACATATCGGGGACGCGAATGTGCCGCCATTCGTCTCGCGGAGTTACTTCCCTTTGGCACGCTATAAACATATACATGCGAGTTTGAATCCCGCTTCTACCCGAGAGTGTTTCTTGTGCTATCAGCACCATACTCGTGGATGAACCAAATTGGTAAACATCATCTGGGACTCTTTCCTCACATTACGCTTGCATGCCTGTAAATGAGGCGTTGAGTACAGCTGGCTCAAACGCAAAGGCTTTTGTGACCACAATATATTTCTGCTATATCTACGTTCCAAATTCGAAATTAACGTTGTCACATATTGCTGTTCCCAGTGTGCAGTGCCATCAGTAACTGTGACCTGGAGACATGCACCAGCAGCAGCAGCCAGGTGTGTAGTCGCTGTGAGGGGGTCGTGCTGGAGCAGGCAGGACACATGGCGTATGTGGCGTCTTCTGATAGACGATCATGCATACGTGAGTGGAACATCCATGAATAACGAGTCAACTTTATGTCCACAAGTTACACAAATACATGTTTTTAAGTTCCTACTGATATTGTCACTGTTCAACGAGTTAGGAATAATGCAACATACAAGCAAACCCTCAGAATCTTCAATCTTAACATATTACTTCTTCTATTCACTGGTCTTTTATTACTGAAATGGGGTTTATTGATGCATCTTTCGGTATGGTATCCTTCGATTCGATCGTTGGATCTGTCATATAAAATAAAATCATTTCCAGTCAACGTAAGGAATTAACTGGACATCTGTTTTGCGTGTATAGTTTCTTCTGACAACAGATCAGTTAGAAGTTAGAATATGCCATGCCGTCACCCCACCGAACAAAGCAGATTTAGATACCGACCATGCTGCAAAGCTAGATCCTTCATTTTTGTCTACAGAGGCGTGTTCGTGGCGGAGTGACAGCACCCGGTGTTATCCCGGGACCTGCAGAAACGAGTACGCCAGTAACTGTAACTGTTCCAGCGGCTTCACAGGGAAACATTGTCAGACAAGTAAGTTGACGCTTCCTAAGATTACAGATAGCAAACAACAAAGACTTCCTTTTCGTTTGGAAAGTGTGAATGGCAGGTGCTGCCAGTGGCGCCAGGCATGCTTACCAATTTCCAGAAGACCTTGTGCCATCACTGGTTTTTGGTGATTCATTGATACTTATCAGGGCTATTGTAGTTCAGGATTCTTCGAATCTGTTTCTATGGATGATCGACACTGCCCTTTTACTGGCGTTGATTTTTCATAGTTAAGTAGTTTCTATGATTGTACATCTACCCTTTAGCGAAATGGACCCATATGAATATAAACGTTTAACCTGGAAATATCAACGAAATTGTATGATTGTACATCTACCCTATAGCGAAATGGACCCATATGAATATAAACATTTAACCTGGAAATATCAACGAAATTGTAAATCTTTTGCACTGTCGCTTATCGTACTTTTTTGCGTATATTTGTACATTATGAGTCTGTCATGATCACAGTAACAACGAAGCCCACAATACACTTCAACCTCCTTAGACTGACCGCCAGCAACGGTGACACGACAGAGGCACCTCCTAACATCAACAGTGGTCCATCTCAGTCCTCCAGCTGGTCAAACATCAACTCTCCATCCAGAATGTACTACAATTTTACGGCAAAATACAAAATGGAACCACTCTCCAAACATAACTTCACGGAAGAATTCGGTGTGGGAATTGTCGGTGGTTCTGCTACATTCAAACTCAAGAGAAGTATGTCGAAAAACAGAGGGCACAATAATACAGCATTTATTGCATGCATTCAAAGGCGGAATGGATTTTCTTATGGGCTATAATACTGTTATCTTTATCTGGCTTGAGAACGGTATATGCTATCCGCTGGTAAATATATATGGTATGTAAATTAAAGTTACAACAGCCTGTTCACAACCATAAGAAATCTCCGAAATCTCAGTTCCGACTCATCATGACTATGTTTTCAAATGACAGTCAAACAGCGATGATACTATAGTACTGTCGGAAATAGAAAAAAAACTGTTTTTTGGCTCTTACTCTGTACCCCTAAAATTTACACAACTGGAAATAGCATATGTCGAAATAACCCACTTCGGCCTAACTTGGCATTCAGTGGGATGCGTAATAGGATATCCAGAAAAGCATGTTTACTCGTAAAATCGGGCAAAACTTAGAAAAAAAAAGAATAGCTGCTGAAAACAATAGATCAGACTATAGATGGCAATTAGGTCGCTCAGCCAGGTATGACAACGGACCGTCGACTCACCTGGCATGAAATGCATGTGCTGCCTACAGGCGCCCAAGGGGTCATCTCAAAGATATGTTGTGCTTCTCCATGTGTGTTGACTCTGCCTGATCTATTGATTAACAGCTTAAGTGTCTTTCTTTCATGAAGTTTATGTTGAGATATGTAAAAGAGTTTGATACCTGATAACCATAGAAATGCATCTTATTAAATGTTTCAAAATATATAGGTGGCATGACCACCCGATCGCGAAGATCGACAGGACTGGATCTTATTTGTAAATTGTTATGACATGCCGTGTACTTGCCCAGTATAATTGCCCTAAAGGATTATCGTATCTTAGCTGATATCTCTATCCCTAAGCCCGACTCCAACGATCATCTGCGACACCCGTCGAGGTTTTGCTTTTGAGACGAACCCTCCTATCTGTTTATTTTTATAGTGACAGTGAGACTCCATGGTAGCTACATACTTAATAGTTTCAGCATGAAAGTTATTATTTTTTACGCCAGCTATCGTTTATAATGAAGCTACGTCTCATTTCAAATTGGTCACTTAAAAAGTGTCCTTTATAATACAATATCGTCGCACACTAATTTGCATACAGCCATGGTCTGTTCCAAATAATTCGTTTTGGACTTTGAAAAAAATTGCATTGCTCATTTCTGCACTAATCTCTCCTCAGTAAAGTCTCTTTTCTACGTTTCTTGTGTCCCTACCATTGAGACTGTAGTTAGGCCGAACTTAGTTTAAGAGATATTTCTCACTTGCACATATCAACTACATACATTGTAGAGATAAATGAGAAAATACAGTTTTTTTCTATTTCCGACAGTACTATAGGTGCGAGCATCTCCTAAGTCATCCCACTGATGATCTCGTGCTTCTTGCTTCATCCTCCCACTGAAAACCATTATTCACTCACCTGACTGTGTTGTTGTACCAAGGTGCAGGTGTTGTCTCCACAAAGGTCTATAACTGTGGAGGAGCCAACGGAAGCAGCCCGGACACAGACCTGTACACCTGTGAAGGAAACCCATCAGGGGCGTCTGTACTACCTCTACCCTTCCAACACAGAGATGTGTGAGTCTGGGGATAGGGTTGGGGTGACTTTGTAAATGACGGGATACATGTTAGGCTGTGTCAGAATGAACATTCTGTTGTTTTGTTTTTTTACCCTTGCATTAGAGTACACCTACTTCATCATAATATATTTTCCGTTTCAATAACAACTAAACTCTGTCAAAAAAGAAACGCAACCCCTGTATTTTAGAGATTTTGATCTGAAGTTTTAAGACGACACAGCATTGTTATTATTTAAGACAGAAGTCTGAAATTTGGCAGAATAATAACCAAGATGGGCATGTTTAAAATTGTCATTTCAAAAGTCATCTCACAGACACCAGTTTGTCACCAGGGGGGCGTCTTTCTCAGTATCTCATATGAGCACCACGAGCTGCAATCACTGCACGGCATCTCCTTGGACAAGAACGGATAAGACGCCGGATTCTTTCCTGGGGAATGGCTCTCCACTCCTCCTGCAGTGCAACGCCGAGCTGTTGCAGCGTCTGTGGCGGCGGCTGACGTTGACGTACGCGTCGACCCAGAGTATCCCACAGGTGTTCAATAGGGTTGAGGTCTGGTGATTTAGAGGGCTATGGCAAGACATTGACGTTGGAATTCTGCAGAAAGTTCATTGTTGCACGTGCAGTATGAGGCCGGGCGTTGTCTGGTTGAAAAATCTGTGTCTGTTGGTCAATAATCGGGAGAAGGTGAGGCTGTAACACGTGGTTGATGTAACGTTGGGCTCTCAGGTTCCTTCAACGATCACCAAGTCTGATTTCTGGTTGTATGAGATGGATCCCCAAACCATAACGCTTTCTCCGCCAAATCTGTCCCCTGTCGGACGCAGATGGGCGCAAAACGTTCATGACGTCTCCTATACACACGTTTTCTTCCGTCGTGATGTTGCAAAGAAAACGGGATTCATCAGAAACCAGATGCGCCTCCAGTTTTGTAAAGTCCATATCCTTACGTTGTTGCACCACCTGAGTCGTCGGCGGAGATGTAGGGGCGTAGTACAGGTCCAACAACTGGTCTACAGGCACGTAAACCCGCTTCTTTCAGACGGTTCCTAATCGTTTGAGCTGACACTCTCCTCAAACCTGGTATTTGTGTGGCAGTCACGGTTGGTAGGGCATGCCGATTACGCAGGTGATGGACCCGGATGTACCGATCTTGAAGGGGGGTCGTGATTCTTGGCCTTCCACTTTTCGGGCGATCGTTGGTCAAATTGAAGTTGTTGTAGCGGCTCCAAAGTCGGGATATCGTTGTTTTGTGAACATTTAGGTGCCGTGCAACAGTTCCAAAACTTTCTCCGGCTTGAACACGACCAATGGCGATATTTCGGTCGGCAGCACTCAATCGTGGCATTTTTCACACAGCTTTTCATGCGACAAATGAATGAATATAATACGAAAGCACATGGGCTTTTATACACCCTACATTAACTGCCATTTTCATGATTTGCATGTGTTTTTGTGCGAAGTCACCATGAGGGTCATTTCATGCGTTGTGACGGAATAAGCAATAAAATACACTTATGCGTACAAATGCAGTTGTTTGGATGGTAATCTTCATTAATTACGTGTATAATTTCAATACATTCGAATAACATTTAGTTTGGAAGCAATAACTTCATTCAAACGAATTTTTCATATCTGAGGACAGGGGTTGCGTTTCTTTTTTGACAGAGTTTATAACGTATTTTGTGTGTGTAAGTACCGCTACTAAACTACATTGTCATATACAAAGCTACGATACAGACACTGTTGTTTATTTCGAATATTTTCCGTTATCTTCTAGCTTAGAATCTGAATGTCATAATATGAAAGACACAGAGCCAAAAAATTCAGGTGTTCCAAACAAATAGTTTAAAGTAAGACGATACTGTCAACATAATAATCATTTACACACGGTATGTTGACGAGCTAACTTAAGTGGCTGTTTTTGTGTACATTTCACGTTAGTCGGTGAAGTATATGTGTGGTGGTGTGTGGTCCTGTGAATACTGCTCAGCTCACAAATCAGGTGAAGTAAAGCAACGTTATGCGCGGAGAGTATTTGGATGGGTGACCGTGTTTGGCTCCTGAGAGTTTCTAGGACTTCAGTCCTGTCCCACAACAAAACACATGTGGTACATGTGGTCTCACCTTAGGCAGGCGAGTTTGATTAAAATTGCCTCTGTTCACCAGAAAATGGGTATCCAGGGGATAAGTCATCGCGCAGGAGAACTGCGCATGATAAATTGACTAATATTAATATTAGTTTAAGATAAAAAATGCAGCAAAGAAGGTTCGGGTGATCCTGGCACAGTCAGGCTGGTAAGGCTCATCATCATCCCAGGGCTCTTGCCCCAACTACCCACAGACCAGACAGCGAATGGGGCTTCTCCCATGAAATGCTGCCGTATCGAACCCACCAAGAACCTTTCGGAGAATATGTAGACTCTCCAACATTGCAGCCTTCTGCGTTACCCAGAGTGTCAAATGAGCAGTGCTCCTGGTGCAAAACCCGGGCACTCTCTTGATCTAGACCAAGAGATCATGAGGTACCATACCAAGGGCACCAAGAACAATGGGGAGCCTGACGACAGTGTATTGGGATGCAAGCGAGACATTTCAAAGGCGAGATCCGCATATTTAGCATGCTTCTCCTGAATCTTACCAAGCAGATTGCTGTCAAAAGTGACCGAAAATTTAATAAAGTAGTTAATGGAATAATAGTTTAGACCAGTCACTAATAAGTCTTAACTTTAATTAATTAAGTTCCAGCAATGATGAAGCCATTGGTAGATGAGATCATCATTGATATACATGGGAAATTTGATGAATATGGGTCAAATAGTTATCGGAGATATTAAGAGTTATTTCTCTGAGGTGGGGATTGATCTGTTGACTGACAAACAACTATCCAACGTTTATAGTTGAGGGTGTCGCTCTCTATCATCTGGCTGGTGGTAACACCGTGTCATAAGGTACGACCAGCAGTTCCTCTCTGACGAAACCTCTTGGCGGTCCGTCGATCAAGTAGTACAAGTTTGGTTCATCGTCTTTGATGTCCACTTTTTTCTTCTTTCCGTTGCGCAACAGCGCAGCCAATTCAGTGGTTACCGATTTCATTTTAATGGCATTTTGTTGGTGAGATGAGGTTGCTGCGTGACCCATTCTGTGGCCCGCGAGTTGTTGGTTTTGTTCCCACTCATCTCCTGCGCCTACTGATGCCCGAATAAGTGCTCGGCTAAAGTCCTGTTTAATCTCTCGACAATGGTTTGGCTGCGCTGAGGTCCGGCCACACAGCGCCTGACATAGATGTGGTGGTTGACCAGCAGTCTCGACACAGCGCCCATTATAGGAACCTCAAAATCTGGAGGGCACCAGGACTTTCGTCCAAAATGCAATGGAACAAAAAAGTCCAACGTTTCAAGATTTTCCAATTAGACACTTGGTGCCCAAGCATGTATACAGCAACCTATCCGTATTTCCAGAATGGCTGTAGAAGCATAATACGAAAATATGTGCCTGCGAGCCGAAAAACCAGTGGCATACCACCTCCTACTGGAAAATACGGTGGGAAGCAATCTTCTTCCAGACATTGCCCATCTTGATTGCAATTTCAGCCATATCGTGATTAAAACTAGTTTTAAATTCATAATACATACATATGATATATAAAACCCTGTCAACAAAGGACAGTATAACCACTAGATTATTACAGATTGAGTTAAAAATAGCTAGCATATATCTTTAAAAGTAGAAAAATATTTTTGGACAATACAATGTAAAAAATGGGCTATAGATCGTCAACAACTTAGATCAACATAATTAGGGACCATGGGGACTTACAGTGCCTTTGCTACCTGCATGGACCCTAGCTGGAGTTACTCCGTCTCCTTAGCCACTGGCGATTGTAGGAAAATTTAGACGAAAATTAACTAACAAAAATGCTACGTTTAAAAAATTTGGTATGTGCAAATTTTACTTTGAACGGTTTAGGTCTTACATACCCTCTCAGGGAGAAAATAATTTTGCGATACTTAAACCCCCCTTTTGAGGGTACAGCCATAAACAATCTAAGTTACTTATCAAAACTACCAATCATTAAAACACACCTATGTACAGAACATATTAATCAAAATTCATCAATTAAATCAATTTCTTTGAAAAAACACAATAATTAAATGGGAATTAAAAAAATTAAAAAGGTCGTTAACTGTTTTTACATTCAAAAATCTATCCCTTATGATGGAAAATTCAACACAGTACGTGAAGACAGAAACACCCAAACCAGTTTCCACAGCCAAACCCAGGGACCCCTTGTACATGGCCTAGAAAAACAATTGTGTACGTAATTGGAAATATAGATATAGAACTATATATTTTGCAGCATGCACATTGTATACAAAAGAGGGAATCCACCTCACTACCCATTCGAGGAATTCTACAATGCCCTAGCAAACAAACCAAGCATGGAACACAGTTCCTTGGAAGATCTGAATGTATTGCCAAGAAAACAGAAACTCCTACCATACTTGGACATATTTATCCAGAAACGGCCAAGAAGTGGAAGAACTGGTCTCTTGGTAGTTTCTATCCAGTAGCAAATCGTGGGAAGATTTTGTTCTGTATTTCTATTGGCAACATTGTCTTGTAGACCTTGCAATTTCTAGCGAGTCTATTGTTCTTTATCTGTGGTGTTCTTTTTGGTTTGTTGATGGAGCACAGAATCGGAGATTCGCTGTTTCGAAGAGTCTCGTGTCCTCCAAGACATTCAATCTCTTTTTCTAGATAGAATCCACACAAGGGTACACTTCCGTCTGTTGTCTCCACCCCATCTGCAATCGGAACCAGCCACAGTATGGTTCTCTGGTTTCCACGACAGGTTGCAGAAGCAAATTTCTGACAAATGTATTCCCCAGGATGTATATCGAACAGACGTGTTGTTTCATTGGATTTTGTTGGCTTCTTTTCTTCTATTGCCTTTTGTTGTAGTCTGTTGAGATCTTGCACCGCAGATTCCACAGC